ACTCTGAAAAGGGCCACATAAATATTTCAAATGCACTTCTGCTCATGGTGTAAGGTTATTATGGCCAGACGCTGTTGTGAGGGCATACTTTAAAAGAGTTGTTTTTTGTAGCTGTTGTGGTTGTTAGCAGGAAATGGCTTGAACATTGAGCTAATTACTGAATGTTGACAATGTACTTCCTAGGGACTTGTGTTTTAAAACTTAAATGGATCAGACTGATAGTGAGCTGTGGTGCTGCGTGTATTTAAGCCATTAGAGTCATTTGAAAGAAATTAAAATGAGGTTATATATTTAGTGCTCAGTGCTAACAGGAAAAAAAAACTGCTGCTGGTGTCTTGTGTTATATACTTGATTATATCACTTTAGTATGAACCTGTTTCTTGTTTGTAGTTGACTGCACACCCTGTGTTTCTGCCAATGAAAATTTGAAACTACACTTTGTTCTGTGCTTTGTCATCATTTTCACAACAGTGGTATAATGTCAGTGCGTTCAATTATGTTCCTGTGGTTTACCATTATGGTGTTACTGTTTCACTCTAATTTTTGAAAACAAGAAAAGGCTGTCACACTTTTGCTTTTCTCTGTTTTTTTTTTTGCTCTATGTTTAATGTTGTTTTAGTTTCCTTTTTTAAAAATAAAGCTTTTATTTTTTCAACCCGGACTTCTGACCCATGATTGTTCCCAATTACCAAAACAACCAATCAGCTGTAGGTTGTAAGGCAAATCACAAAGACTCTTGTCACATATTAATAGAATATTAAGGACAGGTTGTGGTCACCATGATAAATAGCTATAAATAAATGTCTGAGTATCTTCATTATTTGTGTGCATTTACCATATCTATAACACGTAACATGCAGTTTTTATTTCCTCTTCAGTTTTGACTCTTTGGGACCGTATATACTACCATGTCCCTTATTTATGCACATGGAGTCAACAGTCCTTTCTTTTTACCCAACCACGTGATGCTTCACTTGGCAACCATAAAGCATACATTTGCCCAGAACTTAAGGCAACAATGACTGAAAAATCTGTAAAAAGGGCCATAAAAGTGAGTCATATCAAGCTGAAAACAAATTAGCAATGTGTCAGCCATACTGAAAGGTGTGACCATGAATGTTTGATACCATGCTAATGTCTGTGCATTAAGTATAAAGCTAGGACCACAAGGTGATTGGCTTGGATTAGCAAAAAGGCTGGTCTTTGCTCCCGGCCAAAAAAAAAAAAAAGAAGAAAGAAGTGTGGTATATAGCTCTTTGTTAAACCAGAATATGACAATTTTAGGCTAATTTTGGAGAGGGCAGGGTTCCTGCTTTAGGTCTTAATGCTATTTCAAGCTAAGTTAACCGTATGGTTCTAGTTCCATATTTAAACTACAAATGAGAACCGCACTGATACTCTCACTCTCAACATTTACTGCATCTACTCCTTTTAATCTTCTTCAAGGCAACATACAGGTGTGCAAAAAGGCTAGTAAGCTGATGTCTGAACTGCTAATGCAATCGTAAACTACAATATTCTGTAGGCAGGGAAAGAAAGTAAGGGAAAAATTTAGAAAATGATAATTTGAAGCAACACAAAACTACAATGGCAAAGACCAATAGTGTGTATTTAAGTGTCTGAAGGACACTTAAATACAAAAAAACACAAACTGTGGCCTCCCTCAGAAATAAATATAAGTAGAGCTTAAATAGAAATCTATATAACAAACTATCACTACTAGCACACACCCTTCAGTGATATTGTAGAGAAATATAAAACCATGGAGGCTTGTGGGAAATGAATGTGACATGCTGGTGACTAAAGGGTGATCAATGTTCTGTTTGTATGTAAAGTATGCGCAGTACGTGTGTATTGTATCTGCTTCAAACAAAGTGCAAAGTCAACTCTTTCATGTTACAAGACGGTAACAAACAGCACACACACACGAATGCTACTACACATCACGGGTTTACCTGCGTGGATTTGTGTGGTGGGCTGCATTTAGTAAACCCCGTGTTTGCTGTCCTGTCAGCCACCATGTCTGCCCTGGGTGAGGGTGGGTATGAGGGGACATTATGAAGATGGACGACGCTGTCACAGTGGGATGGTGTTTGTCGCAATGCAAGCATTTTCTTCTACTCTATTATCATTATCGTGGCTGATGTTATTGTTACAATAGCCATTTCAGGAAGCGGTTGAGCTGCTGAGACGAAAGGCAGAAAACGCTAAATGGAAAACAGAGACATTGGAATTCAGGAGGTGAATATGAGTTGTATAATATCTACATTTACAGATAATTGGAAGCATACAGTATGACTGCTGTGCCTTATGAAATCTTTATGGCTATGCGTGTGGCCACAATATAAGAGCAAGCAGCTACAAAAGAAAGTGTTCCCAGGCTGATTTATTGTTCTTTAAGAACATTTGTAAAGTTAATGGTCTAACACCAACTATGCTGCAAAACCAAGCATGAAGGAAGGTTAGGACTCTGGGAACAATTTTAACTTTTATGAGCCTTGACACAATTCACAAACTGAGCGCTGGCCATGAGTGGTAATCAAAATTCAGCAACAACAATCCTCCATTTAATACTGCAGAAACGTAACATAACTAATCCAAATTAGTTGAAATGGTACAAGGAAGTATTAGCAATGTCATCGCCACAGCAGTCACAGTTCCAGCTTCACACTTCGTTGACAGGCCACACATGTTAATGCTGTGTTCTCCCTCTCTCTACCCTCTTCTCTCTCTCTCGCATGGTTGTCCTTTAGGATGCCGAAGCAGGTGTGATAAATGCTGCCGTTTAAATCAAAGCACTCCCCTCACCCTCCTCACCCCCTCTAGGGAGAAGGAGGATGCCTCCATGCAGATTGATATCAGGAGGCCCGGCCATATCCTGCAAGGGCTGACTGATGGTCTGTCTGGATAAAAAATGAACTTTATTCCCAGCGTGCAAGCTATGATTCATGTATCTCCCCTCCCCCTCCTTCCCCAAAAACCATTCCACATATACCTTCACTACACGACTCTCTAGAAACAGCGTAGTACATCATACAGTGTTCCACCACCTGCCTATATCTGGAAAATACCAACAAGGTGTTTGTGTGTGTATGCCATAAACCAAGTAACATCAAACTAGCATTATTTTTACATTAACGGGGTGAGGTAAATGAAAACGTCCTTCTCGACTTTCTTGGGAAGGGAACATGGCCATCCTCAGTATTTTCTGTTGTAATCAGTAACATCAGTCCTTTCTAAAACATTTCAAACATAAATATATTATATATTTGAAATCATTCCCTTGAGTTCTGTTTGGCAGCGATTTGTTCCAAACAGAGTGACCAACTCACATGAGACGGAGACGTGTTTGACCACTGGTTCTGTTTGGTCCTTCTGCCCTTCCATACCATCATGAGTGACAGGCAGGCAGAAGCGCTGGGGTCACATTACTCACAGTTAGCATTCTGTTCTTCCTCTTTCCTGCGCTAAAAACATGGTGAAGCATTGCACTTTCCGCTCCAAAAGTGAGTGGGTAGTGTGGGAGGTGGCGGTGCAAAAAGAACACAGCCCTGCTTCAGATTCCAATTAATTTGCCATCTGAAAGCAAAACTACATGTGCAGAAAAGGGATAATTGCTAATAAATTATGTTTAACGTCTCACTTTAACTGCCAAAAAGAAGACAAGTCAAGCCTAATGGCATTACATCTGAAAGGAGACAAAATGTTTTGACACGTTGTCGCAAATTTTCCGTGGTCATTGATGCCTTTATATTGTCTGTTCGCAAAACAAGTCGTTAGCCTATGTGCCCGCTCCAACCAAAACAGCACTGCAATTGAGTCCTCCTCTTTGGGGAGGAGTTGCAGCGAATCATAAAAGCTTTTTTTGCAGAGAGGTGTCTATGTCAATGGAGTAGCGTTTCCATAATTGCACCCTATAAAAGTGTCGAATCACTGACGGTTAAGTCTAATGAGAGAGTGAAAAAGGACAGTGAGACGACATCCCGTAATTATCACCTCAAAACCTCAAATTCAAAGAAGAGGAAAAAGTAAGGAAAACATCAGTATGATATATGTTTTTTTTCTTTAAAATTCAAAGAGAAAAAGTAAGAAACAAAGAAAACATGAGTTTTTTCCCCATCTTTTCAAGTAGAAAGTAACAAAATCACATACTTGACCAAGAAAGTTATAGTTATACTATAGGGAGTGTTTTTGCTGATCCTTTAAAGCAATTTCACTTCCAATCAGTAAACTGACACTCCTGGGGAACAAAGAATGAAAAAAAAAACTGAACACATCTTGTGACATCTAAGGGTCTGTTTCTATGGGGACTGAGTGGCATCTTTCATAGAACATAGGCATTTTGATACACACCAATGTCCAGCAGTCGACACAGCCAATCCCAAGGGGATGGTAAAAGGCCACAGCATAATCCTTTAGATGAAATTGAAACCCTTTGAGTCGGATGGAAATACAGTTCCAGCAGTATATGAAACTCACCGTTTGTCATTGATCAAAAGGTATTAAAACTATAATAGAGATCTGTTAGGGATTGATTAAAGGTCGTATGAAGCCTAACAGAGATTGAATACGATTTTTTTTTTTTTAATCAATAGCGCAAATATTGGTCATTGTACAAGCACTGTAACAATGATTAAAGAGCTTTCATAGGAGTGCAGTGGTAGGATTTGTTGCAGGTCCACTCATGAAATGGGAAATTCTGTCATGTGAATTTATCTAATTGGTATAAATAAGAACAAATTAGGTTTTCTGGCTTTATTGTGTGATGAAAGACCTTTTTTGTGGCTTCTTATTAGAGGTGCGAATGTGTTCAGCCATAGACTCTAAATGTCGCCGCACACAATGTACTCACAAGGCTGTAAAGTGTGTAAAAAGTGTCCCTCAAATTGTGACTTTAATATCTAGTTCTAGGTACCGCATTTAGAATATTTTAACTGTCCCTGACATACCATGGCGTGTCATTGTTTGAGATTTTAACTATGGAGACAAAAGGTACTTACCCTAATGAGACCTCTGTTCCTGCAGTGCTCTTTTGAGTGACTTGATTGAATGGGCACAGGGTATAAGTATACCTGCAGAAAAGAAAGCATAATGTCCACATTGAGAAAACAGGTGCCCTGTTTTTCTTATTTTTCTTCACAACAGTTCTTTTCAAGCTGTGCTTTGTTTCTTGCTCTTTTACCCGGGCTATGGTGAAAAAACAGAACTTGTATAGCACAGAATGGTTGTTATGGGTGTTTATTTCAGCTGAAAAGAGCCAAGAAATTGCACTACAGAAATAAGATGTTTGAGGGAATTTAGAAACTGTGTCGCCATTACATCCCACAAAGGGAACACTGTCAACTTTATTTTTCAATCGTTAAATATCACATTCATAATTCTCTCATTTAAGGGATCCTCTGTTATATTAAAGCTCTTCTACACAATACTTTTATATTACGTTCTTTAGTGATTCAACAGCAACTAATGTTTTTTTTAATTAATTTTCGCTTGTCTCATTAAGTTGCAGCAAGAAGTGTTTCTATAGTAAAAAAAGCTTTGACAGACCAACATTATGCAAACTGCCCAGCAACAAACAGCAGAGAGACAAAGTTAGGGGCTAGCTGGTGAACACGGAGCATTTAGTGGTTACAGAGCCAAATATTTCCCTGAGGAGTTGGTAGAGACCAAAAACAGAGCTTTAAGGAGAGTGAATATTGTCAGTTGGTAATGCATAAGTCAAAACAACTTTATTGTGTTGTGTTTTTACGCTGACCCAGATGGCCAAAAAACCCAGGTCATATAGGTATCAGTCAGTCTCTATGATAAACAAAACTTACACTGCAGACAAGCAAACTATAGTGAAGACAGTAAAAGTCAAGTACCAAAGCCTTACAAAGCAGAATTATTGAACAGTGAGACTCTTTCTAGGCTCAGTGGCTACCTACTGGAACAGAAGATTGACAAGGAGCTACCAGTTACCCTGCCACCCACAGCTCTTCTACTAAGGCAAAGAGGAGTCTAAAGGAGTTAGCAATTAGCAGAGCCTATCGCTAATGTACTTGCTGTGGATAGTGCTGGAGAGTAGAGGCACGATCACTAGCTCCAGTAACAAACTGATCAAAGCCCTGGATGGTGAAACGGACAGGGAGAAAAGCAGCCGGGCTTTTTTTCCTTGACATTTGAACCATTACACTGACTATTATTAAAGAGCAGAGGATGCCCAGACAACCACAACGAGAAAGAGAGACAGAGATAGAGTGAATGAGTGAGTGAGAATTTGCAGGGCGGAAAAAAATGGCTGCAGCGTAAGTAGACGTGGGCCAGGAAGTGCGGGGGGTGGGGGATCAAAAGATGTATGAGCGGAAAAAAAAGATGAAAGAAACGAAAATGATGAACATCAGAGAAAGGAAGATAGTGGGAGAGAGGTAAGTGATTGGCTGCCGACTTCTTTTTCTCATGCGCTTGTTTGCCGATTGCATTAAATGCTTCTCATCTCTGAGACTTTAATTTAGGCATTTATACTTTCATGTCTACTGTATGTTTCGACGGCAATGCCCCTTCCCCCATCCACCAGATAAAAGGACAGGGAAAAATAAAACAGAAGCATCTTTTTTGACTGCAGAGTAAGCAGTACAGCTTACAGTAGAATTAAATGTGTCTCACCATGACTAAGCCTTCAGAAAATCCATTGCCCTCCAAGAAATTTGACTGTGCAGCAAGGTTCCTACTGGGATGTTTTCTTATTTATTTGTATCCTTTTCAAACTGTGTACTTTTTAGTCTGACATGCTAGTGGCAAAGCCCGTCACTCGGTTGGCTCAGAACTACTGGATCGATTGGAATGAAATTTGGTACTGACTATTATTCTTCCCCAGGAATGATTCTTACTTACTTTGGTGAACCCATTTTTTTTTTATAATGGTAAACGGTAAATGGAGCTGTACTTGTATAGCGCCTTTCTCAAAGTCCTCGACAGACACAACTCATTCATTCACATTCACCACTCTAATCACAGCATCGGGAGCAATTTTGGGTGCTCAAGGACACTTCGACATGTGACGGGAGGAGCCGGGGATCGAACCAACAACCTTCCGATTAGGGGACGACCCGCTCTGCCTATGAGCCACAGCCGCCCAAATAATGCTACCATGAGGTTGACATTTTTATTTTTTGTGAAATGTCTCAACAACTCTTGGATGGATTGCCTTGAAAATTGGCACAGACATTTATGGTACCCAGAAAATGAGTCCTACTGACTCCTAATGTTTCCTGTGGTGCCACCAACAGCTCAAAGTTTTTACTTCTTCTTGATGTATTAGCACAAACTTTTGTACAGATGTTCATGGTCCCTATAGGATTAATCCTATTGAGTGATTTGAAAAGAATATCTTAACAGGCTGGATTGCTTTGAAATGTGATACAGACAATCATGTACCTCTCAGGATGAAATTGTTATAACTTTGATGATCCCTTAACTTTTTATCTCACACCCTCATCAGATCAAATGTGTCCAATACTCTGGTATATGACCAAATACCTGGAAAATAAATAACAGACCCATCAACCCCAGTTTTTAGTGCTTTAACAAATGTGAACAAAACGGTGAACATGGTATACAATATATGTGGCAAACATAAGTTATCATTGAAACTATAGGCATGCTGCCATGCTATTATTACTATTTAGCCGAAAGTAACAACACAAGAAGAGCTATAAATTGGTTAAAGGTTTCTTCACAGCTGGCCTTGGCTCTCTCAAGGAGACTTGACACTCTCAGTCAGCTCCACCATTATACGATGTAGTTAGCAGGACACCCACACCTGAAGGACCAATGGACCTGCTGCATGATACAGTATCTGAAACTGGATTTTAAACTTATCAGTGCTTTGGTCCAAAATGTTAAGATGTGCAACAAATTTCCATCCAGAACCATTAAAAGTACAGTCACATGCCAAATAAAGCAATATGATAATAGGTTCCGTTACTAAATAAATGAATAATAAAATAAATAAATGAGAATTCCCTCTCGACACTGGCTTTATTGTTCCTTATACAAGCCACTAGATTCATTAAGTTTGTAAAGCAGGTGTTTCAGCAGCAACCAACATCCTCATCTGAGCCCTGAAACAGATGGCACCTGATAGACAGAGGTATAGTGAGCAGAGGAAGGGGAGAAGGAAAAGGGGTAACAGTGAAAAACCAATCAAATGAGTCCCATAAGGGAGTACCCCTGTATGTCCGTACCTCTCTTCCCCCTCTCTATCACCCTCTCTCTTACCCTCAAGGCAAAGCCATCCATCCCTGCCCACTTTTGCTGACACGCCAGCACTGCACAAAAAATAAATAAATAAAAGCTAGGCTATTTGTGTGCGGGGGCACTGCGATCTGACCTTGGATGCTCGCCTCCATGTGGCAGCTTGTGAGAAAACAAAAGCAGGCAAGGCATGGCACAGGAAATGTGTCGCCGTGTAAGAAAAAAAAAAAATGAAAAGTTAGGAGAGATTAGAAATGCCGAGCCCAACATGCGGATGGAGGTGCAGGTTGATTAGCTGTCTGTCTCCAAGACAGACACTTCACATTCTGCCGTCTGCGTTGCATAAATAGGACACAGCAGAAAGGTCAAACAGGCACATTTATACAAACTGTCCCCAGCTATCCTTAGCAAATGAGCACAGTGTGACACGAAGGAAGAAATGTCCACTGAGATGGAATGGCGGTGACAAAGGCTTTGAGGAAAAGAGACTGACAGCGATGGAAATATAAGACAAAGACAGAGGAAAGGGGAAGACAGAAGCATAAAAAGAAATAAAAGTGCGCGAAAGAGAGTGGGAGGCAATCAGAGTGTGCTGCTGGTGAGGCTGATCATATGAATCACCAACCGAACAGGCCGCGGATACGACAGATGATGACGCGCAGCAAGGCGGACACTGGGCGGAGGATGCAAAGGATAAGAGAGAAAGAGATGAGAAGATAAAACTTGATGGGTCACTGATTCAACCTCTGACAATAATTAGAAGCCTATGATGAGCAGCAGATCAAAAATGACAACAGTGGTCTTCCCATTCGGGTCCTGAACTCCACACTGCGTCTCTGTCCGTCCCCCACGTTCAATCTGTCACCGTCTGACAATGCAGCTCTGACACTAGCCATAATAAGTACCACTATACCACTGTGTCAATCTTTGGCAGGTGTTCTGGGGCCTGAAGATACACAGTTACAGAATAAATATCTTAGATGCAACCACTTAGCCCCTCAGGCAGTATTTTATGCTTCACTGGATCAGACTGCTGGCTCAGTTCACTCAGAACTCAGAGAAACTAACTCTTAACCGAGTACTCTCCATTTTGAGCTAATGATATTAGATAAATGGTAACAGGCAAACATGTTTTCTAGTGTACAGCAGAACTGTGTTTCTCAATTTTTTTACACTGCATAGCACCTCAGAAAATATTAGGCTCTCCTAGTACCGTAGTTAAGGAGTACGGTCTACACCTGCTCTATTTGTGTGTCCTGTTATGAATTGCCGCTATACAAATAAAACTGAACTGAATTGAATAGTACCACCAATGTTAACCAATGTCAATATACAACAGCATATATTCCGCTACGGACGCAGGAGGCAGGTTTATTCCTAATAAGAAGATAATTTATTGTTGACTGTTGTTAAATCGAACCAGTTGAACAACCAGAGCTAATTTGGTAAAAACAGGATACTCCTGGACCACATTTCTCTTCCAGATAGTTCTTGTTTAGAGCCACAGTGTTTTTGATTCATGTTTCCATTAATTTTAATCTTGCCATCACATTTTGGCTCGAAGCTAACTTAATTTTACAAGAAATATTTCAGAGATTCCTCCATGTACCACTAGAGCAGCTTGCCTATGTACTATGTACCATAGTTTAAAGAAGCCATACAGTAGAATAGAAGATAAGTAGTATACAAGAAAAGTGGGGGAAACTGAGCTTTTTGCTTTAATTTTGAAGGTTTGTTTAAAATCTTTGTGACAATCTGACTTTTTGTCCCAAACTTTTCTCTACTGATAGCATTCACAGATCTCATATAAATTCATTTGGTGAGTACAATGTCTTTA